CACCTCTAAAATATTAATTCAAAATGCTATCTATAGAAATTACTTATGAAATATATTTACATTCCTTTTTTCATATTAAATCTTCAAAACTTGGTTTTCCTTCTAACATGTATTAGTTTGGATGCTAATTTTCCATCATTAAAATAGAAAAATATAGTCCTATAAAAACAGTAAAGCTGTTCAAGGCTTACAGTGCCTCAATTTAAAATTTTAAATTAAATGAAATTAGGGAATCGGTTTCCTGGTTTCACTAGTTAACATTTCAAGTGTTCACCAGCCATGTGTAGTCAGTGGCTACTGTAGTAGAGATGGTCTTTTTTTTTAATAACAGAAGGGAATGCAGAACATATAACTACAGCTGCTGTTAGGTGGGCAGATATAGTGGGAGTGTTTGTAAATTCTCTCCTGATTTTATAATTAAAAGAGAAAGTGAAGTCATCAACTGAGTATGAAAATACAAATATAGGTATCAGGCAATTAAGGAGGAAAAACTACTGTAAAATAGTCATAGGTAAAGAAGAAGATTAATGGCAAGAATTGAAGTATTGGAGGACCAAGGAGTTGAGGGTGTATTTATGGACAATGGAACCAGAAAATCAGAAACTAGAGACAGTGGCAAGGTGGTAGGAACAAGTAGATTAAAAGTCATGGAGGGGATGTTATCAGGGTGTCAGAGAATGGGAAGAGCTGATAGAGAATGAGATACACAACAGCTACATCACAGTGATTGGTGATGAGAGTCCTAGGACATGGAAGAAAATAGGTAAAAAAAGAGTAGAGGTTGGCCCTCCCTGGTGGTGCAGCGGGTTGGAGCACAGCATTGAGAAGCTAAAGCCACTTCCGCATGAGTTCGATCCCCGCCTGCCGCCTACCCCGGAGGTAACCACATGACCTGGCAGACCTCTCTTCACCCGCCCGCTGCTCCCCTCAGCAGTGTACTTTGTGGATCTGCCTTTTCTGCTCCCCACTCTGTCTCTGGTGAACCCTCTCGCCGCCCCTGAGCCTCTGGCCTGTACCCCAGTTCTGTATGTACAAATAAATAAATCTTAAAAAAAAAAAAAAAAGAGTAGAGGACACAAGTCATTGGAGGGCAGGGGAGAAGAGTGTCATTGAGTCTCTTGACTCTTGAGAGAGTACCAGGATTAAGACAGGAGGAATACTGGAGAGAGTGATGGTGAGCCATTGGCTAAAGTGAAAAATGGATGGGACCGGTATAGGCGTGGTGGATGAATGCAGCAGTTTGGGGATGTTGGAAGTATGACCCATTGGTAGGAGAGTCGAAGCTTTCAAGGAGGAAGTCTGGAACTACTGTGAAGAGCAAGGGATACACTTACCCGTCTGCATACCCACTTATGGGAGAAAAACAGCTAGCAAGGATTCAACTAAAGTGAGGTGTTAGGAGAGGAAGTTGAGTTGGAAGACTTTGTTATGGTAGGCCATGAGTTGAAGAGGCCAGTGAGGGTTTTAGGAAGTTTGAAGAGGGGTGAGATACAAGGGCAAGATGGGATATATCCAGGACAGAGCAGAATGCAGTCTTAGATATAAAGCACTAATGCTAATGCTAATTCCCCACGGAATGTGGGGAAGACATAAAATATTCACAGGAGTTATAGTTAGACCAATAAATAATGTTAAAAGTGTGTTTTATAGTCAGACAAAAATGTTATACAAAAAAGAATGAGGAGGTTTTAATAATTATTATTAAATAGAAAACTGTTCCGGCACCCATCAGAGGAAGTTGATGAGGAATAATTTGAAAAAGAATTCAAGGAAAAATATTTAATGTTGCTTTCTAAGTGTCATTAACTTTCAGTTTCATAGGTAAAAACAACCTTTGCATTATCCTTTAACATGAATTGTTTCAGCCAGACTGATCTCCCTCTTGGTCTTATGAGTGACTATATCTTGCTCATTTCCTTCTCATTTTGGACTCTCTCTCTCCCCGCCCCTTTGCCCCGAACTGTATTGGATTTCTGTCCACCCTCTCAAGCTTTGGTGAAGCTCCCATTACCATAACATTTATTTCCAGCCATGGTTACCACAGTATTCATAGCTCAAGCATGTGTCAAATGGTTGTTGAAATACCCTCATGTTTATCAAATATCCAAAAGGTGATTGAAGAATTGTTTCATTTCCCCATGAGACTTTTACCATTGAAGTTTATCTTTTGTTAACAGATTGGAAAATGTTAGCTTTCTCTTATCATTTTTATATTTTGTATAATACTGTATATATATTTCTTTTATAAACAGTGGTTACAGGAAGCCTTCATTATTTCCTGTAGCTGCAATTTAATTAACATGTAATGTGTGCTCTATTTGGAAGACACCTGAGTTTGTAGAGGCCTTCCTATGCTTTTACTCAGTCAGAATTGTAAAGTCTCACTGTGTAAACATATGACAATAGGAGTCTGTTTAATTATTGGTTGGCTAGTGCTAAGAAATATTAGATTGATGACAAGTTCAAAGCAAACTTTGACACAGAAGTTCTGCTTCCAATAATTTATCTTGTTGATATATAGAAATATATATTAAGTGAGTTGTACAGGAAGTCATTTACTGCATCATTGGTAGTAGTGATAGTGACATGGTATTACCAATAGATCATAGGTTAAAGAATTATGGTGCATCTTTAGGAGTGGGAAAAATTACTTCCTTTTACTTCTTGAAGTTCTTGGTTGGTTGAGACCCTTGTAAAAGACAATATTTAGTATAAGTTTTAGTATAAGTTTTATTTAGTATAAGTTTTCTGTGACATAAGAGCCTTAACAAGGAAACAGAGATCCCCCAAAAGCAGTTACACCTGATTGTTTTTATGCTAGGTTTGATGAAGAGTGAATAGTCATGGGAAAATATGATAGGACAAGTTCATTAAACTAGAGGAATCCTGGCAGATTCTGCTGGAGATAAGGATGCTCCTTCCCTCAGGGTATGAGGAAGGCACCCCTCACCTGAGGGTCTAAGTCATTCTTGGACTTGCCGTTTCTCTAACTCCTCTCACTTGAACAGTTTGCCAAGACGCAATATTGTGAGATAGTGTCCTCAGTCCTGTCTCATGGTAGAGGTTATCTCACCTGCATATTCATAGGTGGTTTTTCATCTCTTCTCATCTCTCCAGACTAAGTAGGTGAAGGATGAAGTAGAAGGGAGAATTCATTATCTTTTTATACTTTTTAAACTTTGAACCATTAGCCTAAGTAAATATCAAAGAGAATTAAATTCTGAAAATTTTTTACTTTGCAACACATGCGTTTATTGCGTATAATCATTATATTATTACATGCGTATAATCATTATATTATTATTACCATTTTGGCTTTATGTACATCCATAAAATATTGTTATTCTGAATTAAGTTTGTCATTTTTGTCAAAATGATTCATTCAAAATTATTAAAGAATGAAAAAGTAGGTAATCAATACTGCCTGAAGGAGGAGTGCAGAATTGGGGCACACTAGTAGAGACTGGGTCTTGCTATCCTGTTTACTGTTTCTCTCTTTTAGATGGTTCCTTCATCAGCTTCAGGCCAAGTACGAAGTTACTATGTGGACTGGAAAATGTTGCGAGATGTAAAGAGACGAAAAATGGCCTATGAATTTGCAGATGAGAGACTACGGATCAATTCGCTCAGGAAAAATACCATTTTGCCAAAAGACCTTCAGGTTAGCGAATTAAATCGCATTACTTTTACGATAAGATGATTAACTCAGTCTGTCACTTGATAGTTGGACTTAAGATCGTATCATTTTCCGGATCATGAAAGCATATGCTCCCATTCAACTTAGGGAAGTACCCTTGAAACTGATTTGGGTGAGTTTCATATTAAAAACAATGACTCGCTCCTAACTAGCCTTTCATTAGGTGATTCTTAAAAAGTACTGGTGCGTGGGGGCCATACAGAAATCGGGCACTTATTTTGACTTAAGTTCTCTTCTTGACTTCATCTCAGTCTCTCAACATTCATGGCATTGGTAGGTTTTGCTCAAGTGTGGAACACGTGCCTAGCCTGTGCCCTCAGCTGTTGGCTCCCAGAGGCCGTTCCTGGCCTGCAATGCTCACCTCTGTGTACTGAGGTGACCGTTCCTGTCACACTGTGAATAAGAGTGTGTCAATTTTTTTTTTTTTTTAAGATTTATTTATTTGTACATACAGAACTGGAATACAGGCCAGAGACTCAGGGGTGGTGAGAGGGTTCACCAGAGACAGAGTGGGAACAGAACAGGCAGATATACGAAGTAAACTGCTGAGGGGAGCAGCGGGCGGGTCAGGAGAGGTCTGCCACGCCATGTGGTCACCTCTGGGGCAGGTGGGAATCAAGCTCATGTGGAAGTGGCTTTAGCTTCTCAATGCACTGCTTTAACCCTCTGCGCCACCAGGGAGGGCCTGAGGGTGTCAATTCTTTATGCGTGCTAAAGCATAAGATGCTACACCTAACTGGCTTAGACACATTAGGTATGTTAAGGAGATTACTACCTGTGTTTTCTTCTGTGTACTTTAGGGCTTCAAGTTTTAATCCATTCTGAATTAATTTTTGTGTGCAGTATGAGTAGCCTAGTTTCATTTTTTTACACATGGCAGTCCAGTTTTCCAAACAGCATTTATTAGGGACTTTCCTTGTTTCACTGTATGCTCTTGGTTCCTTTGTCATAAATTACTTGTTCATATATAAGTGATTTTATTTCTGGACTTCCAATTTTGTTTCAGTGATCTATGGGCCTGTTTCTGTTCCATTGCCAAGCTATTTTAGTCTCACTTCATAGTATGATTTGAGGTCAGAGAGCATAGTAC